AACCGACTAAATAGCATTATGTAATAAAAAGTAAAAAAGGAGCTAAATCAATTGGTTACAATTAAGTAATTTTTGTTTATATTTTGCTTTACTTTGACTTTTTTTTGACTCAAAGCTAAATATTTAAGCGTTTGTTAATGATGTTTTTCCATTTTCGTACTTAGTTCTCTTGAAATGAGTATTTTTTTTCTAATTTCATAGACAAGCCTACTTTCGAAGCGTCAAGTGTCAAATTAGTTATATTATTATTCTAACATACATATAAGTATTAAAAATAAATGTAAAGAGTCTCAACAAATTATTATGTTTATAAAAGAATAGAGTTTCTATAAATGAATAGAAAGATTTTTTTAACGTTTTTACAAATCATCGAAAACTATAATTGCTAAGAAGCAGACAGAAGTAAAACAGCGGTTACTTCTATTCTTAAGTTACTTTCCGCGAAGGAAAGTCGCACTTTTGACTCATTTGCTATGTGATGGCACATATTTCACGCAGGTTTACCGCTTGTCCACCGGCGGTATCAAGTACTTCATAAAGTAATAAAATGAGATTCAAGAATGTGGAGAAGTACATAAGGTGAAAGTCATAACAGAAAGTGAGAAGCGAGTAATTAATAAAGACAGCTTGAGCTTGAGAAAAAATATATATTAACACGCTTAACGGCAAGAAATATGAAGTTGCACGTTATTTCAGTCTTGCGTACGAAAATTATTTATATAAGCAAATATGTAGTGGAAGCGAATCAATCCGATAAGTTCTAGCGCTTATGTGGAACAAAATATATCGCGGTTAAGTCAATGTTTAATTCAAGTCACAACTTTCAAAATTTAATTTAAACATGTCAGGCACATACATATAAAATACGTACATACGAGTATATACACTTATCATACTAATACAGTATATACAAGCATATATGCTTATTTATAACCATAAGCTCCCAGTAAGAAAATCGTTTCGCGAAACAAATGCAAGCGGCTTAATTTAAAGTGTAACTGGAATAAATGGAATCAGGCCAGGATATGTTGCTAAATTGGCTTTATAACTGCATCTATTTCCGATATAATAATATTTTAAATAGGTTATATGGCATTAAAACTTAGAAATGTACATTAGGGTGGATCAAAAAAAATCAACTTTAACCGTTGATATCTTTTGAACAGTTAAGTATACAAAAAATTGTAAGAGATCATTTTGTAGAACATTAAATTTACCAACCGAAAAAAATTTCTTTTCCACCCTAATGTACATATAGGGTATACTACGTATGTCACTATAACTTATAACTCAGCAATTTTGCCTAAAATTTCAGGTCTGTGTGAACCCAAGTCTCCAATAGAGCATCAGAGGGGAAAATTTTCAATGCATCGTAATCATAAAAAAATTTAATTTAATTCTATACGGATCAAAACATATTCATGATTAATGTAAACAATGGAGTTTGAATACCACGACCACAGCGAGTGTAGAAACAAATTTGCAAGGGCTTATTTCCATTATTTTTATTATTTTCGGGGCATATTTCTTAACTATTTACTACATTTTTTTTTGCAAAGTATTCAAACTTATACCAGTGCCATCCAAACGTCATTTGGGGTAGACACCGTTGACCCCTAAAATCCCCAAACAAGTAGTTGAGTGGCGCAAAGCATTCAGTTAAGGTCGTGAAGTCATAGAAAACATGCCGCCATACGTCCATGCGTGTCGTACCTCCACCTCTAAAAAATGTTAAAGTAACAGTGCTTCAAAATCCACATGTTGGCATCAGAGAGATAGGAGGGGATCGTAACATCTCTTATGGATCGACACAACGCATTAAAGTTTTAGGTATGAACCATGTCAATGCTAGACTCGTACCAAAAGATCTAAATCTTTTACAAACACGACCTCGAGTAGAGGTCGCAAAAGAGATGCTTGACAAGGTAGCTGAGAACACTATATTCATCAAACGCAACATTACTGGTGACGAGACGTGGGTTTATGAATATGACTTCGAAACTGTTCAACAATCTAGAGAATAGCGTATAAAAAATAAGACGAAACCAGAAAAACCAAAATTCTCTGAAGGCGCTGAACGTCTGAAATTAAAAACCGACAATTGCTTACAAATTTATATGTGATCAAAAGTGGCTCAAAAACCTACGCGCGTACACAGCTTTATATAGCAAGTACATTTCAACATATGAGTACATATCTACAGAAAATTGTGTACAAAAAAAGAATGTGCAATATTTACATAAACAGCGATTAGAATACTAAAATTGATAAAAGCAGCAAGTACGCGACAAAAGAATTTCAAGTTTAGGCTATTTTTGAGAACAATTTAAAAATAGAAAATGAACTAAATTTCTAAGATTTTAGATTTTTCTAAAAATTTTGTAAACTACACCCATAAATATTTTATTGTTATTAGATTTAATTCTGCAGCTAAATGTTCTTCCTAGTACAAAATTAATCACGCTTCAGTTGAATAGCCATTTCTGCAGAGACAATTCGCTGAAAATTACAAAATGCTGTTCAAAGCAGTCGTGCAAAAGTCAAAAAACCTGTACTCACTTAAAGACACAGGAAGTTGCGGCTAAAATAAATCGTTTGGAAACGGATGGGTGGATTGGATCCATTATGGTGCAGGGAGGCACGACGATTAATAGGGTTGGTAGGTTCGCGAAAATCGAAGAACGAATAACGGCAAAGTCTTATATTGAGATTCTGCGCAGTCATTTGCTTGCCACTGTAGGAAACTTAAGTAGGTGCAAATAGGTCGAGCATTGTCTTACAGCAGGACGATGATCCGAAACACACAGCAAGAGCAATTCGCAAATGGATACGGGACAATGATATTATATTATTAGTACACTAGATTGACCTCCACTATTTCGGAACCTTAACCCCATCGAGCATCTGTCGCAAATTTGCGTGTAAGTATGCCAAGGAGAATCAAAGCCGTTAATATATTATAATATAAGACTGTTCATAAGGAAAACATTTCAACAACCGAATTCGATTCTCCAACTGAAAATACATTGGTAATTTAAAATTATAGCTGTTATTAACAACAACGTTCAATTCGACACCATTTCCAAGCTACTAACTTCTTTTATTTATTTTTTTGAGTTGCCGCAACAAATGTTGCTGCGTGTGAACACGCGTGAATGTAAAGTGTTCTAATTTGCTCTTATTAGCAAAATAAAGTGAACAATGCGTCGCGTCTACAAAATATTGTTTTTTTTCTGTGATGCATTGAAAGCAATTAGACTAATTACACAAAATTCTCACCCTAAAATAGGGTTTGCTCCCTTATACTTGTATGTATTAGGAAATAAAAATTATAAATCACATAATTTTGATGAGAATCTTTCAGTTTTTATTGGATAACTTATTAGAAATTGTAGCAACAATGAATGGTTTATTTATAAAAAAAAAGAATAACTACACTACAAGGCAAGCGACTTTTTATCTGGGTATTGGACCAAACAAGTTTTTCGAGAGATTTAGCTATATGTTCAAAATTAATTTCTTCGTTTTTCAAAGTTGACTCCCAAAATCAAAATATTTACGTTCGATGTTCCAAATTGAGCTTATTTCTCACTTCATTATTAATTATAGTATGTAAGTTATCAAAAAAGTGAAAGTATGGGAATAATCTACTTTTTTCTCTTATTTCAGTGGGGCATAAAATTATTCTTTCAAAATCATATGATAGAAGCTATAAGCGACTAAAGTTTATAAATTGGTAAAATAGGTGAAATTGGTTTGGTCCAATACCCAGCCGAGTATTGTATGTTATAGTGTTTTGGAAGAAGTACCTAAATATTTAGCAATTTTTCTTCGGACTGAAAGAAGTTACACAGCTGTTTTTGAATTTTTAGAAAGTTTTTTTGCATACGTCTTTCTCTCCCAAAGAAGCTGCTTATTTGTCGGAACCGTCGTATCGGACAACTATAGCATATAGCTGCTACACAAACAGAACGTTTGGAATCAAGTGCTTGTATGGAAAGCTTTTTCATTTAACGAGATATCTTCATGAAATTTGGCAGAGATTATTATGTAACACATCGATATACATAATTTCTAAACATTTTCTTCTGATCGGACCGGATCACTATAGCATATAGCTGCCATCCAAATTAACCGATAAGAATCAGAATAAAAATCTTGTTGTAACTTTTTATATTATAGCTTCGGTCAGCTAGAGTTAACTTTTTTTCTTGTTTTACTTAGTATTTTCGGCTCCTAAAACTTTCTCGAAACATTGTTTTCCGAGTCTGTGATAAAAATTTCTTGGAAACGTCTGGACCGATCGACTTGAAACTTTCACACGACTTTCTTAGATAAATTTGTTAGGTAATGGTCGAAAGAATAAGATTTATGATACTATTTCGGATAATAACTTTTTAAGCTACCCTGAAGTGTAAATTGTTTCACAAAAACGACATTTTTGGATGCCCGCAAAATTTTGACAAGATACTAGGTCATTACCTGTATTCATCTATAGTAATTATACATTTTTTTGGTTTTTAGATTTGAGATAGTTTTAAGCAGATAAAATCTTTATCGCCGTCAGACACCTCTTATCGGGGGAATCAAAATTAAAAAAAAATAGCCTATTATTAAATTATATTATATTTTGTAAATTTACATTTTTACTTATTAAATAAAATGCCTTTCGAAAAAAATTTCACGAACTGACTTGCAAGTGGATATAAACCCTAAGTTGAGCGAGCTACCAAAAAGTGTTAAATTTTTAAAACATGGCGGTTTCTACTCTACGGGAATATTAATAGGAAAAATCTTTAGTATATCGTTGCAATGCGTGCGATAAGTTTTGAATTGGCATTTGAATTTTTAACGATTTGGGAATGCTCATTGAGATTCCTTTAAGATCTCGAACCAATTTTTCTACTGCCATTATTTATTTTGATAATTTGTGAAACACAGCAACCCAGTCGAAGAGTCAATCATTATTTGTTTATAATTTAGAAGTTATAAAATATTTGTTTTCCTTTCCAATATGTACAAAAATTGAAAGCGTGTATGTAAACTTTAAATATTAACACCTCGAAGTGTGGAAAAATAAGAGAACGCAACTTAAGTAAAGAGCTGATTGCCAATAATACACAAGTCGCAGTCGAAACCGCGCACCCGGTGTGACAAATACTTTTTCGAAAACGTTTTCAGACAAAAGCAGCTTGCTAAACGCAACCACAATAACAGACCTACTTACATATAATACATTAACCACGAACGAAAAGTGAAGAAGCATAAAATATTTATATAAAAAAAAAAAACAAAAAAAAAATTAAATGGTAGATATTTGCATTGAAATACCGCAAAAATTGCACAAACATATGAATATTAATTTTGTTGTTGTTGTTATTGTTATTGCTGCCTACGCATAAACATTAAACTATTTCAATCGCCGTCAGACGCAGTCAAACGCGCACCAGTGCAACTGCAATCAGAGCAATATTTGCCATTGCAATCGCCACAGCAACAGCCCCTTTTACAGCAACAACAACGCAAACAGCAATAAACGCATTTACATACATATATAATAAGCAGATATTAAGCAGCAAGAGTCATCACAAACGCAAGCGCCGCAAACGCAACAAAGCGACGACCGCGCGACAGCACCGAGGCAACGAACGAAGCCCCTATGCGGTGGCGCGATCGCTGCCCCAACACTAAACGAACGCGTCATTGCATAGCGCAACAAACCGTTCGATGCGCGCGCGTGCTTGTACGATTGATAAGCGAACGCAGAGTATAAAAATTGAGGGCTCACCATTTCCGACGTTTAGTGTGTGGCTGCTCTTTCAGACGGAACGCAACGCGGCGCGGATCGTAAGGCGCGTTGGAAAATAGCGAAAAATTTACAAAAACAAAATAAAATATAACAACATAAGGCGTGCGCGCTTGCTCACGTAACGTAAGAAAAAGTGTCAAACAGCAACGTAACGTAAAGTGTAACGCAATTGTAGTGATTTGAAAACAGAAAAGGTATACGAAGAAAAAGGTGAATAACAAAAGCTAATGCGCGAGAATTTAATTATTTTCATATTGTCAAAGCGAAATAAAGTTTACAATAAAATTGAAAAAAATTTACATAAAAATTGAAATAACCACCAACGTTGCATTGCGCTAGTGCGCGCATGCGCGACTATACTGCAAACAGAAGTTTAACGAAAGTTGCTGCGCCAACAAGAAACACTTTGAATTGTCAAGCCAAAGCAAAAATATTGCAAATACTTAAAACAACTTAATGTAAAAAATATGCAATAATCAAAGTGACACACGCATACATATAAAAGAGAAAAGACAAAGGAAGAACGAGTTTTCGAAATTGTTGAAATTTTTTGGTGAAAGACTTTTAAAGACCACCGGCCACCACAAATGCAGGCAACGCTTCCCAAAAGCCGTCATAACGGCATAAACAAGTTTATTGCCACACATTTCTTTGTACAGCCTAACTGACTCACCGCTCTGCGCGCCCTCGGCGGTCTTTCGCTTTTTAATTTGTTTGTTTTAATTTCTACGTTCATTGACGGCGCCACTTGAAAAGTGAACTGAAATGCCCGCGGTACGCTTCAAAGTCAAAGGCAAATCGTGCAACAAGCTAGCGGCTCAGTGGAAACGCAGCAAATCGCTCACTAACTGCACGAAAGTGCCTCCTGCGCAGCGACAGCGTTAGCGTCAGCGTCCACCAGTTCGAATTCTGGAGTTGCGCGTCGCGTTTCCAAATAAACTGCATTGTTGTCAACTTGAAGTTTAGTTTATTTTAAATTGGTGATTCAGTATATTTACTTTTTGACTTTTTATTCTCATTTGTGGTGTGAGTTTTTTTTTATTTTTTATCTAAAATCACTTATAAATACATACATACATATGTACATATATTCTATTAGACGCTGCGCAGCTGCATTGAAATGACTGCTATTAATTTGTATTTTCATTTACGGCAAAAAACAAAGGTTAATGCCAATGATAATGCAATTACTTGGCTAGTGAAGTCTGGCTTTTATGTGCTTCGCATGTGTGCGTTCACGCTCACGAGTTGGCGTGTAATTCGAACGATCGAACGCTATAACAGCAACTGGAGTGCCGCTTGTCGGCTTGGAAAATATTTTCATTTGTGTAGTATACATACATACACATATATGCTTATAGATTGTTTTATGCATATTTTATTATCACTCTTTTAATTCACATAGCTTCAGTTCAAGCGCGAAGCTGTACAATAACTATTTGAATAATTTGTGCGATGCGATATAATTAAATATCGCGTGTAATATATACATACATAATACTAATTGCACGAGTACATTTAAATATGAACATACCTGTAGAAAGGGTTTTTATTCATTTTGAGATTAAGATCACAATAAAAACAAAGGTTTGGGGAAATGAAATTTTTTACAAATACAATATTGCCTTGGCTTAACAAAAGCAATTAGCTATAGCTATAATAATTTCCTATAACTCTAAAGGGTGCTAGATCCGTCATTGCACTTAAAATATAAAATCCAACTCGAACGTAAACGGCATTATAAATAAAATGTTGCAAGTTAATAATACATATAAGCATTATCAACAAATAAAAGGTTTGTTTCTGAACTGGTGGTACGAGTAGCGGCTAGCTATGAGGAAGAAGAATTGACAGTTACTCTCACAAAGAACGAAATATCGAAAAAACAAAAAAAAAACCTTAACTTCAGTTGCATCGAAACTATAATACCCTTCACAAATACAAAAGATTCCATACAACAACTTGATTTGGAGCGGTCAGTTTATATGGCAGTTATATGCTATAGTGGTCCGATCTGTGCAATTTCTTCAAACATTGCACTGTTGTCTTGGACACTACTCTATGTCTAATTTTTCCTTAAATAAAAAAAGTTCACCATACAAGAACTGGATTTTGATTGACCAGTTTTTATAGCAGCGACATGCTATAGTGGTGCGATCTGAACAATTTCTTTGAATATTGTACCGTTGCTATAAACAATAATTCGAGTCAATTTCGTGAAGATTTGTCGACAATACAAAATATTTCTATACAAGGACATGATTTTGATCGTTCAGTTCGTATGGCAGATAGACTCGTATGCTATAGTGAACCGATATCGACGGTTCTTACACTTTCAACTAATGCTCTCTTCTGTTAGTTTTTTGTGTTAATAAAAGGTTTTCCAGCAGACACTTGACTAGCTGGAGATAATTAGCCATTCAGAAACAAACCTAAAGTTTGGTAAAAAATCAGCTGACAAATATATGTATATTTTTTACCAAGAAGCGTGAACCGGAAAGCAGCTTTTTTCTTTTAAGTAATTTAACTATTAATCGAAACAACACTTTCATAAAAACATTTGATCCGAACCGCTTTTTTTAAAGGCTATTTTTATAGTTAGTTTCGACCAATTTCGAAAGATTTAATCACCTCAAAATTTTTAACGGCACCCAAATAATGTTTTTCCTTTGAAATTTGGTATTAACTACCCGATATTTCAAGAAGGCATCTTCGACAGAGAGAAACTTTTTCACACTACTTTATTTCCACGGACCTACGACGTGATATTGACGAGGAGTTTTTAAACGTTCTTGCTCACTTCAAAAAAAATTTCACCGTTTTAAGCACAAATATATATTTAATAAGGCTTCAGTATTCAAACTTAGGGCTTAGCAAATGCTTTAGTATTACGAGAACTCTTTTTTTCCCATCTGACTTGTCTGTAATTGTATTTTTTAAGTTGCGTACTATATGGATAGGGTTAAAAATTACTATTTGGAAATATTAAATTTTCTAGCCTAAACAGAAATAGGTTTTACCGGAACTATATTTCTGTAATTTACTCTGAAAACCGACAGACGCCGCATTCTTTGTTTTTAAGTTTCTATGTCAGGTACATAAGAAACTAACTTAAGTTAAGGTTAGATAAGATAAGAAGACAGGTAAACTTTTTGAAGTATTTCCCATCCACGAATTTCGGAACTTTAAAGTAGAGATATGCTGTTTTTAGGGACATCACAATGCATAAAAATTTCAGTAAATTCTGGTAGATGTAGATTTTAAAATGTTACGAAATCGTAAATAAAAAAGTTGTAAAAAAGACCTGCACTTGTGTAGTCAGACAAGTAATACCAGAACAGAAATATATAACCAAAACCAAACTGCAAGTCCACTCCTTATGAACCCTCCTATTTACCAAAGCAGCGCTTAGAACAATTGATTGATTGGAAAAGGCTCAGAAAACCCGCGATACGAATAAGACATCTAGTAGATTTGATATATACATAGTATGTCTGTCTGTGCGAGTGCTAGAATATATTACAGTAGAGCATCTGAGATGCGGTATAGCCTATGCAATTTTGATTTACATTTTTTCTCCCCACTGACCTTGCAATATAATGACTTACGTCAATAACAGATGTATCCTACCACAAACCAAAAACATTTTAAATGGAAGTATGGTGTTACAATTCAAACGTGAGCTTCTTCGCTCATTAAAAGTTCAGTTCGTGTTTTTTACTTGCGTTCAGCTGTAATTTTTTTGTGCTGCAACAGAACTCATTAAATATTATTAGCGGTATTGACTGATAACGTCCTTGTTTACGTCACTGAAACTATTGAAAGTTCATTTAACTCGCGGCAACTTTTCTTCTAATTTATGGAAATTTAATTGCTATGCTAATGAAAGCAATAAACTATGTAGTATATTTTTTTTTAGAATATTTTATTATTTTTATAGAAAAAAAATAGATAATATAAATTTAAAAAATTAATTTGACATATTTGAGCAAATATTGAATATGGCATTATTTATATGACGTTTTCAATACATGAGTTATTCATATTCATTCATACATTTGAAAAAGAAAAATAATCGGGAGCGACCCTGCCGTCTAATTAAATCATCATCAAAAAATCTACAAATTATCCCAGTGTTTTTGCAGTCTTTCTTTGGGTTTACTTTTTCGATATTTCATTGTAGTACAGCTATGGATGTAAACAATAGACGCACTTTTTGGTATACCAGACACACTTGTGAGTCATATTTGCCCTTTGGTTTCTTTTAAAAATGTTTTCGACAAATTTCATACCACTTATCGACCAATTTGAAAGAATAAAGTTAATCATTTCTTAACAAGTGCTCTGACAGGTATATAAAAGTTTCGAAGTATTATCTATATAAAAATAATATTTTCTCAGAGAACGCATAATATCGCATCATTATATTTTGCAAAAATTACTCATATTCATTTAAAAAAAGATACCACATAAAATTAAAAATATACAAGAAAGCTGATTCAGATTACAATTAAGTTACCTTTACTCAACGCGTTTTTTTTTGTCTTTCTTTATACCCTGAACAGTTTGCAACGAAGTTTGTTACACTCATAAAGAAACGTCGGAGACCCTATAAAGTATAAATGGTATATACGTATATAAGTAATCAGCGTGACAAGTTCATCAGTTTTTGAGATATCGATCTGACAATTTCCATACGTCCTTTTTTCCCCAAGAAGCTACTCATGTGTCGAAATCGCCAATAACGGACTACTATAGCATATAGCTGCCATACAAAGTGATCGCTTAAAATGAAGTCCTTGTATGGACAACTTTTTTATTTGACAAGATATATTCATGAAACTCGGCCTAGATTATTCTGCCAGGCAACGATATAATATCCGAAGAAAATGTTCAGATCGGACTACTATAGCATGTAGCTGCCATACAATCTGATCGATCAAAATCAAGATAAGATCCTTTTGTGCTACGCACCTTAGAAGAGTATTGGCTGAAGTTAACGTTTTTTCTTGGTTTTTGTTGGAGAAATTTTTGTTAGAGCTAGTACTACTTAGCCACTTGATTACCAGACTGAATTAACATTTAAATTTAAAAATTTTTATTCCCGATTTTGGAAATAAATAATGCAAAGTCGAAAACAATAATCGATCAAAATTTGGTTAAAAGTCTTAATTTTAACAGTTTTTAAATAAGAAAAACGTTGGTCAGAAAATTACTTACAGATCATACAAATAAATTAAAAACACAATTTTTTAAATAAAAAAAAAATTGATATACTTTAACAAATGCAATAAGACACGACTTCGTTTCGTGACTAGTCCTTTTACATGTGAAAGCAGAAACAAAGTAAAAAAGTTAATTCGATGTCAGAGGTTAGGTTGATAAAGAGTATTCTGTATTGCAGATTTCTATCTTACGAATTACTACGAGTCTATTTGATTTTAGCAAGTGGTTTGTTCGATTCGCCACTCTCTAAGTATTGTACAATTAATATAATGGCAACTTTAGAGCATCTAATATAAACTATAGATGCCTTTGTAAACTATCTGGATTTTTTGCCAACAGCAATTTGACGTGGGTTCAAAAACCATAACCCTGAAAGCTTCAAAACGCAATAGCAAACCAAGAGTGAAAATAATAATATTTAATAAGAAAGTGAAACCAAAATATAAAAAACGAGAATGCATAAAATAATTAAATTCGCCATTTTCTTGCTTTTCAGTTGTATAGCCGGAGACAGCGCGTCCTTCAGCAAGCCACACTTGTTCGTTCACATCGCCACAAAAACTCAACTATCCCCTTCCTACGCCCCACCAACAAAATGCTACGCTGTCAGTACTGTTCATTTAGCGTGTTTGTGCTTTTCGCGCTCACAAATGCTTTCGATATCACACGCATGGAACCCATTGCTGATAAAAACATACAAACCGGAAATCGTATGCTCTATGAAAGGGAAATCAACGCGAACATTTCTCAAGCGGAGGCAGCAGAAGAGGATGCAGCAGATGGTGTGCTCGATGTAAATGAGATTCCAGTGCGTTTCGATGATGCACAACTGTGGCGTATCTATAATATATCAGAGCATATGCAGAACAACATGCCACTGGCAGAGATGCTGGAGAGTCAATTTGGTGAGTGCAGAAAATGTTGGATGAGAAAATGCTTGAGTGTGAAATATTATATTGATGGCGATATATTAAAAGAGCTTAAGTCGGCTTGAGATTTGCTTAATTTAAGTTGACTTAAACTACTTTAACATAATACCATAGCAACACATAACACATATAGGATATATACAGAGTTTTGGACGTTTATAATGATGCTTCTTCAATGTTGCAGGTGGCGTTATTTGGAAGGAAAATTCGAAATTCCTTGATATATCCATCAATAAGGAGAACTTGAAAGCAGCGCGGAGCTATCTCTCTGAGCACAACATCGACAAAGAAGTGGTACATACAAATATACAGGAGCTGATCGACGCTGTAGAATTAGAGGGCATTAAGGCGACCCAGGCAGAGGCGGGTAGTCGTACAAGTGAGTATTATTAAAAAAGACATTAAAATTACTTTTAATAATCATCTCTTACTGCGCACTCTTTGCAGAGAAACAAACACGTAGCGGTATTAATTGGAAGGAATACCATGATTTGGAAACGATTTATGCGTTCATGCGTGAAGTACGCAGCAAATTTCCGAAAATCTGTCGTTTGTACTCCATTGGAAAGACAGCGGAGGGACGTGATCTGAAGGTGTTGAGGTAAGTGAAATGAAAATTCTATAAGAAAATTAGTAAAATATATAAACGAGTTTACGAGTTTAAATACATGCTTAAATTAGGTAGTAAGCAGAAAAAAAAACAGAAAATACTCTTTCTTTTCCTGAATTTGAGTTTTAAGAAAGCTTAGAGTTGAAAGTACTCTTTGAGGCGGGATACCAAGTGGTTAGAGGTAAACAAGATAAACTTATTATTAGAACATGGAAAAAATATTGCAACATATGCATTAAATTTAGGGGGTCTAAGAAACCTTTGAGAAAAGTTGCCACGTATTTTTATTGCAATTAAACAGATAAAGCAAAAGAAATATCTACAATAAATTTATTAGTATGGAAGTTAAAGAAAACTTGCAGGTATAAATAGAATTTACAGAGTAAAGGTAGTATTTAAATTTAGGCACCGATTGAAAAAGATTTAATTAAACTAATAAGGGATCATTTTCTTTTTAAAATAGTTGCTGATTTAATAAATATATAACTCAATTAATTTCATAAAAAAATTATAAATGTGAAGTGTGACGAGCTGAGCCGATCAAGCCATGTCCTTCTGTCTGTCTGTATACTTGTATTGTAATTTCTGTACACATACTTTTCTCTCCAAACGGACCACTATAACAAACAGGTGCCTACAAACTGATCGATCAAAATCAAATTCTTGTAAGGAAACTTTTTTATTTGTGAAGGATATTATATTGTACAATAGTTAAAGTTTTTTTTATGGTTTTAAAAAAGATTTTTTGTTTCATAAATGTATGCTTAAGGTTATATATAATTAATATTTATAATAATAATTAATTAATATTAATATAAGGAATACAACTTGTTTTAATGTCAACAATTGTAAAGTATACCGAGTACTTGTCTCTCCTCAATATTTACAACTGGCCTTGAAATTTTAACTTAAATTTCGTTCATTCCGCGAGCGGCTCAAGATTTTTAACAATCAATTTATTAAAATTATCTGAAAATATTAAGTAGTCGTATACTATTTACACAATATGGATTTTTATCTAGATGAAAATATACATATAACTTCTGGTTGCTTTTTGTTTTGATTTTGCAGCCATTTTTTTTAAAGTGCGTCACTACTAATTCCCTTAATTGCGAACTTTTCTGATAACAAACACCGTGACATGTCGGCGCATTTATGTAGTAGTTGACAAACAGTGCTTTTCAGCACACAATCGTTGTTGAAAAACACCGCAGAAATGCTGCAAATGGTGAGATAATTAAATTTTATGCCACGCTAAATGTGTTAAACACTTTTGAACGAATTGGAGCCATTACCATAATGAGAAAATTACATTCATTACGTATCAAGGCCGCTAGTATAGACATGTACGATTGTAAATATGTATGCTAACACATACAGGGCACATTAAGAGCAGGGAACAACACGAAGAATATGTTTATAGAAACAACTAGAGTGTTATAATAATATTTATCAAAATAGAAAAATTATAAATATTATGATGATTTGCTGTTAGCTTTTGCAAAATTAATTTTTCGAAAATATATATTTTATTTTATTTTGTATTGTGAATACGTAAATCGCCGATGTTATTACTATTACTTCCTTAAAAATTCAGCCACGCCATCCCCTTCGTTTTTCCGAACTCAGATCGCCCGTAAATTATTTTTCCCTTAATATTTGTCATTTTATCTTTTTCTTCCGATGGGTTTCAACCTAATATGATTTTTTTTTATCACTTTTAAAGGCTTCTGCACTGGTCTAAAATGTTTTCTGCTTAAACCAAGTTAACAAAATGCCTGTCATGCAAGCTGTGCTTTGTTTACAGCCGAAATAAAAATTCATAAAGCACAAAATTGGAAAAAAATTAATATATTTAATTTTTAGGCTCTTTGATTAACATTATAAGGAAACTAGAAAAAACGTTAACTGCGGTTGCACTGAGGCTATAATACACTTCACAAAAATTCTGATCGTTCCGTTTGTATGGCAGCTATATGCTATAGTGATTCGATCTGAATAATTTCTATGTAGTTTGTAGAGTTGCCTTGCAAAATAACCCATGCCAAATTTGGTGAAGATATCGTCTCAAATGAAAAAGTTTTCCATACAAGGACATGACTTTGATCGTTCAGTTTGTCAACGATTCCGATGACAGTTCGCGTATATACAGACAAATGGACATAGCTAAATTTACTCAGCTCGTTTTGTTGATCATTTATATATATATTTTATAGGGTCTCCGACAATTCCTTCTGGGTTTTACAAAGATTGTGGCAAACCTAATATGAACTGTTCAGGCTATAAATATTTAATGTCCTTTCGATCCAAAGGCAAGCACTTGTGAAATCGCAATATTTAAAATGAGTAAAACAGCTCATCAGTTCACTGCACTATTGTCTTGACCTAATTAATGCCACAAACTCGTACTTCTCGTACTCGTACTAATAAAGATAATAATATTTTCTTTCTACGCAGAATCTCGGAGAACCCACGAGAGTACAAAAAGATCTGGATCGATGGCGGCATTCACGCACGCGAGTGGATCAGTCCGGCAACAGTTACTTTTATACTTTATCAGATATTGTTAAAATGGGGGGAGCAACCAGCTTATATAAAGGAACGCACCTGGTACTTTATGCCCGTTGTGAATCCAGATGGCTACGTCTACAGTCGCAATGTGAATAGATTGTGGCGTAAGAATCGGTCACGTAACTCAGATTCAAATTGTTTTGGTGTGGATTTGAATCGTAATTTCAATATTAATTGGAATGGACGCGGCTCGTCGACAAATCCGTGTAGTGACACATATCGTGGCACAATAGCCGCCTCTGAATTGGAAACGAAGGCGGTGGAGAATTTCCTGTTACGACGCAAACATAACCTAGAAGCTTATTTGACCTATCACAGTTACGGTCAACTCATTGTCCATCCGTGGGCATATAAAGCGGCGAAGGTGAAGAATTCTGCCGCGTTGCAACGCGTTGGCCAAACGGCTGCACAGCGCATTCTCAGTAAGACCGGCTCAGTATATCGCAGTGATGTGACGTATGCGCTTTTGGGTATTGCCGGTGGCGGTTCGGATGATTGGGCGCGCGCAGCTTGTGATGTCGAATATGTTTACACCGTGGAGTTGCGTGATACCGGCGACTATGGTTTTCAACTACCGCCGTCGCAGATACGCGGCACTGCCGAGGAGGGCCTGATCGTTGTGGAAACTGTAGCTCAGGCTATTAAACTTTAATCTAATTTATTTCTTTATAAGTATTTCTGTATATATGTGTGGGCATGTGTGTGTGATGTGTGCGTGAATGTTTTAAAGAAAAAAAAACTAAATATATACAGACAAATTTAACAATAAGCTATATGCATATATACTACATTATATATGCGTTTAAAAGAAACAATAAAAATCCATACGATTGATAAACGTAGAACCTTTTAAATAAATAATTTTACAAGAAGGTCAGTGTCTCTGCGAGAACAACTTTCAAGTTGAAACGGCGAAAGCTTATCACGAAAAATTGCAAAGCCGATGAGCTCAAAGAAAGGGCAACTAGCTCCTGCGCGCCAGTACACAGTACTATTTGGTCTTAGCGAGATTCATCTTGGCGCAATAGTAGCAGTTCTTACTTGATGTTCTCCAATAGACATTCATGTAGTAACACTAAACTTGTTGTTGGACGCAAATTATCGAAGTTCTATAGAGGAACGGAAGGTGGAATTATACAGGCATTGCCTAGCTTTTACAAGACTCAGGTTGAAACAACTTGGCAGTCATACTTTCAGCCAACCACTTAAAATAGTCGTAATTGATATTAGTCGCCTCAACTATCTACCAGTCTACATGCAGTACATCACCTGGTGGATCATTTCTGGTTCAAAAATCGCACAGCCATAAACAGTTCAATATGCATTGGTCTTGATTTGAATCGAAATTTTGGCATTTATTGTCGTTTTCAGAATCAAAAATCGCAAAAATAACCTTAAAACATATTTAATATTCCATTGAGTTAATTTTCTAGGCTTGGAAGGAGTCACATAGCCTTTGTAATCTCTAGACGAATTAAATAAAAGCAGTAATCGGCAAGATTCATGAGTTTAAGCAAAATTATTATGTTTTAGGTAGTCTAAGTGGCTTCTCGAGTGATTGGGTTAGCAATAAGTATGACGTGATTTATTCTAACCCTAAAATTTTAGGCGTCACATTGGACCGTCTGTGCTCCTTCACTCCTCACACGACCGCAAAAACTGCCAAAGTACAGAGCCGCAACAAAATCCTCAATGCGTGTAATGAGGCCCCGCATGATACTAACCACCTCTTTCCATGCCCAACAAACCCAACTCATCTAACACCCTTTTCCCTATGGTCCGACCAAGTCGAAACAGCCCGTTTCTTGGGCCTCCCGTTAGATGACCTCGACGACAACCAAACTATCACTTACCATCCAAGCGGGGACTAGATAACCGTTACAACAACAACGTGATTTATTCTTATACCATCGAGTTATGTGATAGCGGTGAATACAGCTCAGACGTTAATTAGCGCTATTAAGGAGAGAACGCTTGTTGTAAAAGCTATTTCTAATGCTATTAGGAATTGATAGTTTTATATTTAATAGTAAACACATATATTTCATGTGGCATTAAATATTGTAAAAGTATGCACTTCTTTAAATATGAAAATTCTGCGAATATAATTTAATTTAATATAATTATATGTCATGTCAGAAAAATTTAATAAACACACAAATTTAGATGTGTATATCAGCAATAAAAAAATCTTTACACATGCACTCGTATTTATAGACCTAATTGAGTTTCAGTTAAAAGGCGTTTAAATGTACACACATACACTCAACGATTTGCCGCTTCATTAGGCGTTTGAGGATGTGCTTGCGTAAAGGCGCCCCGAACTCACCGTGTCGGTGTCATCGTCGTCGCCGTTTAGCAACGCCATTGTAGTAACATCGGCATCAGTGGACATCATGGTTTGCATATCCTTCGGTGTAGACTCTTCAGAGATGACAGACACCGATGGTAAATTGTCGACAAAAGCGTCAAAGCGTTGGTTTCCAATCGGCGTGGCGGCAGTTGGTGTCTGTGGCGTGTTTGTAGCTGTAAGTGTAGCATCCGCCGTTGCAAGTACACTGTATTCCAATCCGTTTTTTTGTGATTTCATTTTTTCTTTATGTGTACAATTACCGTTTGTCAGTCTTGTATGCGGCACAGTTTGCATTTGCTTCTGCGTTGGACTAACATTTTCGATACGTTTTGTATACTTGCTATTTAACTTGATATTTTGTGTGGCAACTGGGGATTGTTGAATTTGTTCATGTACTGCAGAATTTGGTTGTGGTTGATTCAGTTGATTACTTTTTGATTTGTTGCCTCCACTTACTTTAAGTTGTTTACATGGCGCTGCCCTGTCCGTGCATCCGAAGATTGACTGTTGTTGCATTAGGAGTTCAGCTTCACGCAAAATTTCGTCGACACTACGGGTGTCTGAATTATCTGCCAATCGACTCACTTCTTGAAAAATACTTTCTGTGTCTGCCTCAGTGCAACATTCTTGTTCCCTTGCTAAAAACTCCAATATAGAGCTGCTGGTAAAATCGTCGCAATCGACTGTAATGGGCGATGAAGAGGTTGATGGAGATTCCGAGGAACAAACCACGGAGTTGGCGGCTGTGCCTCTCATACTGATGCCACTGTTTAGACTATTGCAATTGCTATTGAGCATTTGTACAGTGGGTGTGGTTTTTTTGTGATTTTCAATTTTTTTGAGCTGCTGTGTAGGCAGGGCATTTTGTTGAGTCAACACTTTGGACATAATTTATTTAAAAGCTTCCGTAAGTAAAATTTTGTACAATATTGTTGTTAAATTGAAGCACTAAAGCACAACAAAATTCAAATTGGGCCAGAAAGGGGAAAAAGTTTATTCGAAATGCAATTAATTTACGTCTACAGAAAACCGAACTTCAAGTTACCTACATAAAACTTTTCACTCAACTTTTTTTACACATGCTGATATTTTGAACAGAACACTTTTTAACGTTTGCACACAACACTTCCACCATAAGAAAATATAATATTAAGTATTTCTAATTATTTTGACAAAAATACCAGCTATTTTTTAACACCGTCTTCGCGCAAAGAACATTCACAACCGAATGCTCAGAGACAATTTCGTATAAACACCCATACGAAGGAATACCCGAGTAGCAGTAAAACACTTGTCCTGTGTCCTACGAAATCTTGTTTGTATTTTGTCAATTATCCTTTCGGCGATTCAATTTTTTGACTTTGTTATATTTATTTGTTTTGTTATTGGTGTTGTTGGGATACAAACCGTAACGACGCTTGCCACTCGTTTGTAAAATGATGAATTACCATTAAACGAAGTCGAATCGGTTTACAGGGTTGCAACTTAAATCTCGTAATAACACGAAATTTTAAATTCAATTTATAAGAGATGTTTTGCTTTTTCATCGAATTTGTATTAATATCAGAAATTTGTTTAAATTGTGTTTAAAAAATCATAAATGTGGATAATTCATCTGATAAAATATTTGTAACAGTAACAGCTCTTTTTACGAAAATTATCAATTGGTTTTATTAAACTCTGATATCATTTAATGCTTAATGCCATTTACAACACTAGTGGTGATATTTTCCTTCACCGCAACCCTATAAAATGTCATGTTTTTCTTTTGACAGATCTGTTGGAAAAGCTGTTATTAGTGATTTATTAAGTTCTTATTGATATAAAAATACAATTTATTAATAAAAGTTGTAATAATTTTCTCAAACTCATATATAAATAATCTGCAATCATGCTGTATCTCGAAGATTATCTGGAAAGTAAGTTTATTAACGCAATCAGAATTAAAAGCCACGGTGTGCTCTGATGAGCCAGCAAAACAAATTTTGAGGTTATGGATTTACCAAATTTTGTTTATTTTGATGTGTTTTGTTTATATTTTGATTTTGTTTGTACTGCACCCGCAACATTGGTAAACAATAAATAGTAATATTCTTACTAAAATTTTTACAAATCTAGTGATCGAGCACTTGCCACAGGAGCTTCGAGACCGATTTACAGAGATGCGTGAATTGGATTTAACAGTGCAGAGTAATAACTATTATTTGTTTATGCATTTATTAGAGAACTCAAAATATTATTTTTCCACAGATAGCATGGATTCTTTGGAGAAAAAAACTCGTACATTTTTCCAACAATGCAAACGTGGAGAATTACAAAACGAACCTGCGGATTCAGAGTTTCAAAATCTTCGTAAAGAATACTACAAAGTATTGGAAGACGCTGATGAAAAAGTAAACATTGCCACACAAATACATGATTTGGTGGAGCGTTATCTACGCCGATTGGACAGTGAACTATTCAAGTTTAAGTGTGAACTGGAAGCCGATAATAATGGTATAACAGAAATACTAGAAAAGCGTTCGTTAGAGTTAGATGGTGGTTCAAGTGCAGCCACGGCATTGATAAATGTAATTGGTGTTACACAAAAAGAGAATAGATATTATGGATCGATCGCGGCAGCGGCAACAACAAATAGTCATGGCATACTGGGGTTGCCAAGCAGTAACATAAGTGGTTTATCACTTTCGACTACACCAACTACAACCACAAAGGATCGATATCGTACGCCCAAACCGGAAAAACGCAGGGATAGTACAACAAACTTGGCGCTTCTACCGGAGAAACGTCCAAATTTAGGAAACAATTTAACACCTAATACGCCACCGGTTGCCGTAGTTCGTCCTATAACACCAGGTATAAGTACGCATGCAGTGCTAAATACCGCGGGCGCATCTGTGGCTACTGCAGGCAATCCCACTGCTGTTGCTTATAATTTACAACAATTAGGAGGATCTGCATCGAACGCGATCGCTGCAGCTGCCAGTCAAGCCATAGTGGCAACACAACAAATGCCTCAAGGTCGCCGTACGGCTAGCCTTAAGGCCAGTTATGAGGCAATACACGGCGCTGGTGGTGGGCCACCGGAATTTTGGATCAGTCGTGATATTGCAAATGCTGCAAGCGCAGCTGCGCAGACAACGCTCCAATCTACAGGGGTTGAGAAAAAACAGAAAAAGTGTGTAATATATATATATTTGAAAAGCAAAAAATGTTCACTTAAATACACGTTCATTTCAGAAAAATAAATGCCAACAGTATTACGCATACTAATAGTGCTGGTAGCAGCAGTGCTCCTTCATCTGCCATATCGCTGGCATCATCGTCGTCCTCTGTGAGTGTAGACTCTGTAGACATGCTGCCTTCTTCGTCTAATTTAGCAACTGTTGGTAGTCTTGGTGTGCCCGCAATTGGTTTGTCCACAATAGGAGTGGGCGCGGCTTCTACATCTGCCGCAGCAGCCACGAATCGTGCCAGCTCGGTTGCATCTTCGATCTCATCAAACACTCTTACGCCTGCCACTAACATAAGTATTAATGAAAACGGTCTAGTGGTGGAACAAACGCCTGAGGGTGAATGGTCATACGATCCAAATGAACCACGTTACTGTACTTGTAATCAAGTTTCATATGGTGACATGGTCGCTTGTGATAACGATGCTTGCCCATACGAATGGTTCCATTACCCATGTGTGGGTATTACACAACCACCAAAAGGCAAGTGGTATTGTCCTAAATGTACAGCATCTATGCGCCGGCGTGGGAATAGGAAAAACTAATTATACTGAAATTGAAAAGTTTGTTTCAAAATCACAACTCAATTCAAAGTTTGCCAATTGAGAAAATTATGGTATATATACATATTATATTGAAATGAACTATTCAATGTTGTTAGCGCACTTGGAATCAAATTAATAAAATTTCATTAGCCATCGTATACAAATTTGCTTTATTTAAAAAAAAAATGGATCGTACTGTTTGTTGCAAACTGCTCTTTTTATGGAAGTGTTTATTCTTTACCCTTATTTTTTGGTATTATAGAATAGTCTGTTTAATTACTCTCGTGTGTAACATGTGCCGTATATGTTATATGTATTATACTGATCATATAAACGTACAGAACACGTACTTGAGTGGGAAGAAAATAAAAATTTATAAATTGCGCGGGCGGCCAAAGCATCCACTCAAAACGATATATTTTCCACATTTTCTTTCTCAATTGTTGTAAAGACTCCTCAATAGAATGGCCCTCCATGTAACCTAACGTTGTGAAAAAAACAGTTAAGTACACTGGTGAACAAATCACCTCATCTAGCACAATTTTCATCATCACGGTCTTCAAATTTGTAGCTTGAAAACGTTTATCAAGATATATGTACCAGTGATGACACACAACACCGCTACAGAGACCAGCAACACACATGCTGAACGTACGCCTAGCACTCCACTCCTTACGTTTACCCGAATATTTTTCGTAGCTTTGATCTATGATGTCCGCAACTCCACTTAATATAAATGATATTCCTGTGTTCGTGTAAAACAAATATTTCTTGCCAAAAGCGATTCTCGCGAGCCGATAGAAAAAAGACATAAACGGATTTTCCAATTTGTTTTACTCGCACGTAAATATTCTCTCAAATTGAATAACATAATGAAAACTTTTTGAGAAGACATTTAATTTTTATCGTTTTCTCGTACGCACATAAGGTGATACACAGCTGTCTTCTTTCTTTTTTTAAATTATTGTACAAAGCGCTAGTTCTGATGCCTTTCTGTAAAAAATATTTATTTTGGTCTTTTATAAAACATAAAAGTGTACAGTTAATAATATGTAGAGAAAAGCTCGAACATGTTACAAATCCACTGAGAATTTTCACAGCTCACGATTGCTTAAAGTGCCTCATTTGCTTAGTATAAACATTTATATTGTCACATATGATTTCAATAAAAATGTTTATCTGATGAACATTTCATTATGTGTACATACATAAAAGCACAGATGGGTTGTTTAATCATTGTTTTTCACTTGCGATGTATAAACGTCATAGCCCAAACTTATGATGTTATCGTAGAATACACGATACCGTGTGGGCAGCCAATAGAAGTTTACAAACTGTGCCGGTGGCCAGACCATCCATTCAGCCGCATACAGTTTCCAAGCCTTTTGTTTCATCTCTAGCCAAGTGTCCTCAATGGATTTGTCTTCTAGTGCGCCCATTGTCATGAAAAAAGCGGATATGTAAATTGGTGAACAAATAAATTGATCTAAAACAATTTTCTGCATAACTACGCGTATTGTGCGACCTGGCATGCGTCGATCTAGGAACTTATACCAATAGTGACAGATTACGCCAACACCCACACCGGAAATGCCCATATTAGTAGTACGTGTTCTGTCCCATTCCTTTAAATCGCCGCTATACATTTCGTAATGTTGTTCTAACATATCGCCTGCTGTACTTAGGCTCAACGAAATGCCGACATTGGTAATAAGTAAGAATTTATTACTAAACGCTCGTTTGTGTATTTCACGGAAGAAATTCATGGACTTTAACGCTGCGCTACGTATTGCAAGGACTGCAGTAGGTGCCATTGGAAGTGGTTTTGATGTTGTTCTTTTTTGTGCGACCTTCAATTTTATTGAAATTATATAAACCCAAATAATTCGGCGATTATGGTAATATTATTTTGGTTGTGTGTTGTGTTTTCGTTTTTGTTTCAATATTTATGTTAATCTTTCTCTGTTGCTGGTGTGTCGAAAATTCAGTTAAAAGAACACAAATACCTTTAGGGCGCTGCGCACTTGCGCCCTAAAATCCTCAGCACCACGTCTAGTAAATTAAAATCCGGATCAAAACGCCAAGACCACCGATCACAAATATCAAAAAGGAAAAAGCAACAACTACACAACACGTGCCAATAAGACTTTTTTCGGTAGACAGCAATAGATGTAAGCAATGAACACTGCCACCTTTATTTAATAAACAAGAAACAGCTGTTTTCCTGTTCGTCAAAAAGTTGTGGTGCCGTATGTAAACGGTTAAATGCGTAAACAAAGTGTGATTTCACAAGATGGATATATCGAGAAACATAAAATTTTCGGATACGTGTATTATGCTACAGAGAATAAAAAAGGCTACAAATCAAGCGTCAAAAGAAAAGCTAATACGTCGCTATTACGATTCATTTCAAAAGTTTCGGCAAATATTCCGTGATAGAGTGGGACTCACTGCAGCAGATCCGGAGGTAACTACTTATATGCCATTAAGCAAACATTTGTTTACCTTAAGCTTGTTTTTTTTATTATGTAGGATGGTGGTACCAGTTTCTTTTGCATCCTTAGATGTTTAATACCCCGTGAGGATATGTCTCGTAAAGCATATGGACTCCAAATAACAACGCTTGGTTGTGTATATACAGAAGTGTTACAACTAAATAAAGATTGTATGTGTGCTATTCGCATTTCCAATATTTTAACTGCTATAAAAGATTGTAATATATTCAACTAGCCAGCGATGCACAGCGTTTACAAGCGCGCACATATAACGGTCCTGGCAATGATTATGGAGACATCTTGTACACAGTGTTGATGCCTCGATGCAATAATGACCTTAGTGAACTATCGCTTTATGATGTGCATCAAATGTTAGATACTATAGCAGAGGGTGATCGCCAAGGTGATAATTTGATTAATGACACTTCCTTAATTACCGCTTGCTTCGCTTGTAGATACGAAAAAGATATTAACCAGCCTAGCAGAGGTAGCATCGGCCCAAGAGCAAATGTGGTTCATACGTTTACTGCTAAAGAACATGCATCTGGGAATTGGTGAACAACGCATTTTCACGCTCATGCATCCCCAAGCAAGAGATCTCCATAGACGTTGCTCAAATTTAAAACGTGTGTGCTGTTTGGTGGCAAACAACCAAATAAGCAATGAATCTATAACAGAACAACCAAACGAAACTAAAAATGCTAACAACACATTCAACCTTAATAACATCGTACAACCCTTTCAACATATACAAGCTATGTTATGCGAAATGTTTCATGGCAGCTTAGAGCAATTAATGGCTGAGGACGTGCTTTATTTGGAGACAAAAATGGATGGTGAACGTTTTCAACTGCATTACGCCAATGAGCATTTCAAATATATTTCACGTAATGGCATTGATTACACGGCTAGTTTCGGTGAAGACTTCATGACCGGAAAGTTGACACCATTACTTCAACCACTATTACCAAATAATTTACAATCAATAATCCTCGATGGTGAAATGATGGTCTACGATATGCAGCAAAAATGCTATCGTGACAAAGGCGAAAATACAGACGTCAAACATTTGGATAACAGACTAAATTGGAGACCTTGCTTCGTGGTCTATGACGTGCTCTATTTAAACGGTAGCAGCCTTCTGGAAATGCCCTACGTGCAGAGATGCCAAAAAGTCGTTGAACTTATTAGCACAGAGCAGTCTGGTATATTGCAAATAATGCGTCCAATCAAATTAACAACAGCAGCACAGTTCCAAGAGCTTTTTCAGCAAGCACTAAATGCGCAGGCGGAAGGGGTAGTGCTGAAAAAACAAAACTCCATTTACAAACCAGGCATACGCAATGGTGGCGGTTGGTACAAAATAAAAGCTGATGTAATTTGGAAAATATAATTATTTTCTTTATTTGCATGTCGTAACATTTTTCTTTCTTTATAACAGTACATTACTGGCTTGACCACAGAATTTGATTTGCTAGTCATAGGTGGTTTCTACAATAGAGCGCGCACTTTCATACAATCCTTTTTGCTTGGCGTACTCAAGTACAACTCCGAAACACAGTACGAAGTTTATAGCGTGGGCAAAGTAGACAATAGAACACGCCAGAGGGCAACGTTGAATGATGCACTCAAACAACATTGGCAGGATTGTAAACGAGAGCCACCACCTTGTTGGTATCATTACAAGCAAAGCAGTGCTGAAGGCAGGCCCGATGTGTGGATCGAACCAAATAAATCAGTCATACTGCAAATCAGGGCCACCGATTTAGCGCGTTCGTCAGCTTTCGTTTTGTCTAAGTCATTGCATTTTCCGCGCGTTGAAATGTGGCGCAACGACAAACTGTGGCACGAGTGTCTCTCGTTGCATGATTACATGGCAATGATACAGGTGCGTATGCTTTGCTATTACAACAATAAAACATATAAAGTATGATTTCTATACTTAGGGGGAAAGAGGTATCAAAAAAATCCACAAGCGACAAGTGGAGTTAAGTGATTTGACATTGCCACAAAAGAAGCGTAAATTAACTGCGGCAGAGCGGCGCAAATTGGGCGTTTTATCATATGAACGCCGTTTTAATCCAGATGAGGTAAAAAAACAGTACAATACACTCATAGGCAATTGCTAACAAAATTTGCATCACAGGTAGAACAATACTCAAATTTGTTCGAGGGCTTCTCTTTCTGCATACTGAGCGCAAGTTTGAAAACCGGTTACACGCCTGAGGCACTCAAAGCATTGGTGGTCACCAATGGCGGCAAAATAGTCGAGAATCCCATACAGGACTCTAAATGCATATCGGTGGCGGGTGATATAACATTTCGGGTGGAGACTTTGTGCAAATCGCGTCGTTACAATATTGCCAAACTAAGCTGGCTGGTGCACACCTGTGATAAGCAAGAGTTGGAACTAACTCCAATTGACATGATTTGCATAACCAACGAGCTGGAATCCGAATTCCGCAAAATATTTGATAAATATGGTGATTCATACACGGAGTGCACGAATGCTGACCAATTGATTAGGGTGCTGGAGGGCATAAAAATTGAAGACGTAAGTATTAATCGGTCCACATCTGGTTTTTTGAACTTTATTTTTGAAATTTGCTTATTTTAAGATCGCTGTCGCGGAGCCATCATCCGCCGACTTAGAAGAACTTGAAACGATGTTATTTGATGAATCCGTCGATTATTTTACAAATTGTAATGCTGTATTCTTTAGCATAGATAAGCAAACGGAATTGGCGAAATTAATTTTCCAGTATTTTGGCGGCAAGTGCTTTGAAGTAAATGTGTGCAACTTTCAAAGTATTAAATATGTACTGGTCAATATAAATATAATTGATAAAGTTAAATTGAAAGCGTGGATTTCAAAGCACTTCAAAGATTATTTGGGCAACCTTTATGTCGTTAACATTGCCTGGATATTACATTCACAACGCGCCAAAAGGAAACTTGATATACTTGAATATATGTGGAACGAAATTTAATTGTAGATAATCAATATTGTATATGTGTTTGTGCAAGTTGCAAAGCTGTTGTTGAATTTTTGTAGTGTATTATTGTAAATTTTTTCAAAAGTTGCAAATTTAGTTCTTTATTATACACGTTTGTATTACAAGTTTTTGAAAATATGTCTTCTATTGTTTTATATGCCAATTATTTTTAATTAAAATTTATAGTCAAAAGTCTAACAATTTAGAAAATCACTAATATTTATAATTATTAAGTGACAATATTCACTGCTATTAAAATACATACATATATGCTATATAATTTAATTTTTCTATATATGTATGTAGAAACATATTAATTTTTTAAGGTCCAACTGTGGATTAAGGCAAGCTGTACGCAGACACAATATTGTCACAATATTCTAAAAACATTTAAAAGCAGAAATAAAAACAAGAAAAAACCTCAGTTGATTTCAATCGGTCAGTTTGTATGGCATTTTTCTGATCCGATCCAATCCGATCTAAACAATTTCTTCGGAGTTTACACCTCTTGCCTTTAGCGATAATCCATGCCAAATTTCTTGACGACATCTTTTCAAATAAAAAAGTTTTCCATACAAGCGCTTGATTCCGATCGTTCCGATGAGCAGCTTCTTGAGAAAAAAGGACGTGTACCAAATTTCAGATCGATATCTCAAACGGGTTCGGGTATATACAGACGGACAGCTCGTCATGCTGATTATTTACATATGTATATAATTTGTCGGGTCTCTGTCGTGGCCTGTTCAGGTTATATAGTAAAAATAAATAAAAAGCTCTTTTATAAACTCGAAAAAATACAACAAACCATACTGATAAATTTACATATAAATTAAATGACAAATTAAATAAAACAAACAAATTCTATTCAGTTTATTAAAGATTTGGCTGTTATATTCATACATATATGTGCATATGTATAATGAGTTATGTACATACACACATAAGTATGTACCTTCTGCTCAAATATAAACGAGACTGGCTCAATAAAACAAAAACGGTTAATTATTCTTCAATATTTATTTTATCCCCTTCAAAATAGTCACCATTAGAGGCGATACACATATGCCACCTTTTTTTCCAATCTTCATAACACTTCTGGTAGGCCGCTTTATGAATTTTGAAAATATTATCCGAAAATTTGAAGTTGACCCGGCAAATAGTTTTGGAGATATGAGAATATTTGTAAACAAATTTTAACTTGGTGTAATCTACTCCTAAAAATTTATACGCGATTTCTCGAAACACTTTTTTCAGAGTCGCTGAGGAAAAACCTTCGAAATAGCTGAACCGATCGGCTTTTTATATATATTTGTTAGGTAATGATCGAAGGAATAAGATTTTTGATAACAATTTCGAATTTTAAAGCCACTCTGAAGTGTAAATTTTTTCACCAAAAATTACTTTTTTGGTAAGCCATTTTGTCAAATATTCAAATTTTAACTAGTCCTTCAATTATCAACTGTATTCATCTATTGTAATAAAATTTTCTTTTGGGTTTGGGATAATTTTATGCAGGAAAATCTTCCCGCCAACTTTTTTCGAAGGTCTGCTTGGAAATCGGCTACAGGAGCAAGAGAATCCAAAACTTCTCAAAATGAATCACCGATTATTAAAATACAATAATTTTTGTAAATGTATATCATTTTTATTTGTTTTTTTAAGAAAATGTCTTTCTGACATGCAAGTGGATATAAGCCCATAAAGAATACTGCCGAGTTGACAGTCCTTCTTTGGATATAAAACCGAGTCCGTTCGGGTTACGTAGACTAGATTGTCGTGTTAACAAATGAATTGGAAAACCGTGGCAAGAGAAAAAATTACCTATTGTCCCATATACGAGCCTCACAAGCCTCAATGTTTGTAAATGATCTTGATGAAAATTTTAAATTTCTATAAATATGATTTAGCTTATACTAAATCATTGATTCACTCCTTCGAGCTGTATATAATATTTCCAAGTCCTAGATGCTTTTTAATTAAAGCAAAGTCCTTTTTAAAACTTTTGCCATCGATATTATAAACTTAAAAAATCACGTTTTGATCCCAACAGCATTGTTTTCCTTTATTGTATCCGAATTTATAAAGTTATATTTTATCATCTGACGGAAGTTTATCAAGACAGTTTTTCGACGTAGTTAATTAGTGGATCTAATAAGAAATTATAGCGGTCCTCAATGATGGATAAATGTGAGTTTAGTTCCCTGTAGTTTGCAGAACGCAATCTGTTTGGATTCTATCATGAAACTCTAGCTCTCCACGTCCTGTTGGCGGGAAGGTAGTTGACAAGGTGTTATGCGAATTTTTCAAGTAAGGAGCCATAAGCACACAAGCCTTTATTGGCGACGTTTAAGTGACATAAAGTTATATGTATACACTAATGTTAATGTGATACTTTGTTGGGAGCTGGTATTGAGTTACGGTGCTTTGTGCGCCTCGGGTGATTTACGATCCAGATGCAACATGTAGACAACATTAAGCAGCATTACAACATTAGCGGAAGGTCGCTTTCTTATATACCTTAAAGAGAGAGAACGTCTTAAGATCACTCTGGCTAATATGTGATTGACAGCTAATAGGGATGAAATTTGAATTGACTTTTAAGCTCACAGGCAGCAGAAAGATTTCACAGAAGTATTTTATTGATAATTTCACTGTTCACCGAACAAAAGAAGGTACTGACCCTTACAAAAATGCAGCTACATTTTCAAAATAATAATTCTTAAGTTCAAGCTGGAAAAATCTATCGATTGTCGAGGAGATTGACTAAAGACGATATTGAAAAATTTCGCGAAAATAAATTCCTAGAAGTATTACATACATATGTATGTTGGGTATATCACGACTAGAACGACATGGTTCACTTAATACTTGAATTAGTTATTGAACTCGGCCAAATTTTATAGATATATTGTGATAATCTACTTCGTACGTGTTATGTAAAATTATGAGCAAATATATAATTATATGTTTTATACAGAATATATTAATTTTTGGTTCGATCCACCTTTTACTTATACTGCTTTTTTCATTATTGGGGCTATTTGTGTTCTTTGGCCTCATAAGATATTTTTCAGAGAAGTTTGGCTAAAATGTTATATTTTTAAATTGTTGTGGTTCGATTTAGAATCTTCAAATTTACCACATTGACCGACCTACTCTCGACCAATTCCTAGCAGCCAGTTCTTCGTTACCGGAATTGAACCGGATTTTATCCGGCCAAGGGCTGTTATTTCGGCGATCTAACCCTGTTTGGATCGGCAAGTGCTACCTACTCTGGAACAACGTTTGCAAATCGTGCAAATTTATTACCAACGTTTACTCTAGTGAATATTGCGAATCCTCAGAGACGCCGTAAGTGCATACCGAAGACCCTATTGCTGGTGTGGGGCAGAGTATCGAAGAAGATCCAAATCAGTCCACCCGCCATCGCGCCCAGCAATTGAAGCTGTGTCCATCCCCTTAATGGAAGCCATTGTTGAGACTTTTTTTCAAAAATGAAGACGGCCATAAAGTAATAGTCAACTTAAAACGCTAGACAATTTTTGGTGGGGTTATGTGATGTTGCTTATCTCTGCAGATAAGCCCGAGGCGATTGACGCCTTGGAAGAGAATATTCGGAGCGTTATTGCTAACATACGACCCCAATTTTTGCAAAAGGGATCCAAAATTGGGCCTTTCGGCTAGAACTTATTCGAGCCAGCCGCCGTGGTCACTTGCTCAAAATCGTTTTTAAAACATAATGGTAAGCAAACCCTTATCTTTATAATAAAGCTAAATTCTTGGCCAAAATATTAAATTATATGCATTTCATTTCTTCTTGAAAACCACATGTTCAAAAAAGAAAACATACCCTCCATAAGTACTAGGGTTCGCACTGAATTTAACTATTTATAAGAAACCTGTTGTGAAGTTTGTAATCAACCAGTTACAATATAGCATTCGAAAACATTTTGCAATATATTTTATTATACCATATATAGTTCAATCCGGTTCATTCGTTGTAACAAGCATGAATTCTATCTCTAGAAATATACTACAAAAAACCGTTAAGCTAACAAAATTAGAATGTTAACAAAATGACGTTGTGGCATAAAAATAAACTAAAATTTAGTTATTATTTAAATTTCGTGCTTGTCCTTCTGTAATTTTTTCTTTCAATTAATTATACATTAATTGACAAGTTTACGAATATTACAAGCTCACATATACATACATATGCATGTATATTCATTTACACACTTATGGCTATTATCATCTTCATGGAATACAAATTCTTACCTATACTGAATTAAAAAAACAAAAATGGCTTGGTACAAAAACTATACAATTCGGGGATCTTTTTAAAACTAGAACTGGTACATATGCATACATACATATATGTATGTTTATGTATATACATATGTAGTATTGGCATAATTTATATAAGAAACTAAAAACCGGTTACTTTCGAAACATCGTCTAGACCTAAATGATTTTGAAGAGCAAAAAGTTCAATGTGCTTTAACATCATCTTCCCTGTTGTTTGACTAAATAAGCTTAAAGAAAAATAATTTATTGCAAAACTAGAAAACGCATACAAATTTCAATTTGTGTTTATTTTTAACAGAATTTTTTTTAATAACACTTGCAGCTAAAGTATCTACTTCTTTAACAGCTAAGTGGAATGTGTTAAACATCTCATCGATGTTATTTGTTGTCAAAGATGGTGAATCGAACTGAATAAAACACGGAAATATAACAAAGAGCAATTATATATGTTTTTTGCTAAAATCTGCTGAGTAATCGAACAAAGCGTCGAATTCGAATACCGTTTCTGCGCATTTTTCAATAATGTGATTCTTAATTATCGAAAGTGTTGGCTTGTAGAGCTTTGATAACTCTGATTGCATAATGCATCATATATTTAAGAGAACGGATAAACCTTGTGTTACTCAAAAGACCACAATCGTATATAGATTCAGTTCCAGTGGCGTCGGAAAAGACACTAACTTGTCAGCCTACCAGCTAGATAAGCAAATAGCAAGCAAAGTATAATGTTCCCGGAACCGTTCACATCACGCTTAGATAGATTACGTTAATGTCGGAAATAGCAACAACTGTCATTGCTTTGATTGAATTTGTTAGAAACGGAAACCTTTCAAATCGTTGGAGATGTTGAAATATGCATCGTTCACATGTCGCCATTTTTAAAACGTTCGAAGAACATTTGAAGGCTATAGTGCCAGAGGCTGCTAGTAATACCCTTATAATTGTTCTGTAGAACTGCTACTCTACGAGAATATCATAATATTTAAATTGAAATTGTTAAACAATTAATTATCTGTTTGGTGTAGCGAAGTATTGTAATGTAATAAAATAAAATTTTCATTAATTCATTTCAAGGAATAATTTTATATTAACCTTATTCTAAAACCAATATTTTAGCATTCTCATTTGAATAAGCTTCTTATTAGATATTTTGGGAGAAAAATCATAGATTCAAATAATACATTGAAATACAATAGTTTTCAAAGTTTTACTAAAGGTATAAGAAAAGAATATTTTCTCTCGCGTTTTTTTTTTCGTTGCTTTCAGAAAATACAGTTTGGGGCCTTCCGCTGTATCTAGTATCTAGTACAAATTATAATATCGTATATATGTTTATACTATACGCAATGCTATAGGTATAGGTGGACCTACAATGATAAATATTCATAACTGTTCAAAGCTTAGCTCCAAGGATCCAGGGATTAAATGCACTATAGATATACATGCATTTTCCTGGAAATATACCAATATATGATATAGGGATCTGTTCTGAACAATTTTTTCGGAGAATACATTGTTGCCTTAAGCAATAAATCATGCCTAATTTCGTGAAGATATGCCGTCAAATAAAAAAGTTTGATTCCGATTGTTCAATTTGTATGGCATCTATATGCTATAGTGGTCTGATATCGGCCGTTCCGACAAATGAGCAGCTTCGTAATAAGAAAAGGACAGGTGCAAAATTTTCGATCGATATCTCACAAACTGAGGGACTAGTTTGCGTATATACAGACAAAGGGACCTGGCTAAATCAACTCAGCTCATCATGTTGACCATTTATATATATTTTTTATAGGGTATCCGACGTTTTCTTCTGGGTGTTACAAACTTCGTGGCAAACTAAATATACCCTGTTCAGGGTATAAATATAAATATTTCATATAGTCTATATCAATATTTATATAAATAAATATCGCTTTTTATCTCAAATATAAATTGGAGAAACGAAACGAAAGTACCAAAATTTTTACGAGCGTTACACCAATTTCATCGCCTGGTGGCGTTCTTAAGGGGTTACATCGGTTTCACGGCTTTAAAAAACAAAAATTTTTTATTATCTTATTTAATTATATAACATCTCTAGAATATTGTCCTAAGTTCTCAAGTTAATACCAGTAAAAGTTTTGGAGATACAGCTTTGAAAAGCGCTCTAGGTCAGCTATATAGTCACTTAATATTTTAAACGCGTGTCTCTCGAAACTGTGTTCGCCAAGTCGGTTGTCAAGGTTTCTCACGAACTACTTAACCGATCTTGATGAAATTTTATACAGGTGCTTCAGATAAAATTTGACCAAAATTTTCATTTTGTTGGAAAAAGGTCTGGCAAAATTCCAATTTGAACTTTTTTTCCTTCGTTCAAGCACGAGTTTACGGTCTTGACTAAAATATATATATTTTTTTTCATTTAGATGTTCCTGTCAGAAGTTATGCTGACCACGCGCACGCATCTTTTTTTCGAGGGGTCACCGAAAATTACGTTACAATGGCGGAGTTTTAATTTTTTTTTTTTGAAAATCTCAGAAATTATTATTTAAATGTATATCTTTAAGAAAGCAAAAAGTTTGAATTAAACAAATAATTTTTTATATAGAAAAAAAATTATTGAAAATAGGCCTTTTTTTACCCGACTAAACCCATGTAACCCCTTAAACAAAGCATTCGTATTGAAGTAACAGAAATCTCATTCGAGACATGTACAACGCTATTTCATGACCCAAAATTGGACCATACCATATCACATTTCGGTAAAATTTTTCCAAACAATTCGAAGCAGTCAATGAAAATCGGTATCATAGGATATTGATTCATTACGCCTGCTGTAAATTCAAAAATTCTTATCTAAACTTTGACGAAATTACTTATGTTAATGACCCTTTATAGAGTTTTGTGAATAATATTTCGACTGGTGAGTGTAACTCCTCACCGTTCTTGTACCTTTTGAAATGCAGCGAGCTTAACAAGAGCTTATATATTTCCACAACTTATTTAGTTTTCAATAAACTAGAAATGTCATTATTTGGTGTAGGTCAACAATTAAATTTACAAAATTCGGCTTACATAAAAATCAATAAAACAAAATATACACACTTAAGTTATGTAGATATGCAGCCGGTTCTCAATTCAATTAAAACAAAAACAAATCAAAAAATTACTCGTATGCTAATTAACCGCCAACATACATACATAAACGCTCGCATAGACTGACAGTTTCAAAAACGTCGAGCGCCCGTCGCAACAAGTTTTACATACAAATTTGCTCTGCGGCACTTGGCGCAAAAACGATTACAGAATAGACAAAGCGCTAGCGGCTAGCCGTTAATGCTGTGATTGTGACTGTGGCTGTCGCCATCCGCTTGCAGCTCGCTTGTGTCGCGTGCAAAGGTGCTTCACAGCCATCATTGTTAGCCATTATTAATCTAGATGGGATGTTGCCTGATGACTGCAGTGACCATAAGTGGCTTTAAGGAAAAAACCAGCGTTTAAAACAAATATGATAGTGACTTACTGGTTGATACGCAAAGTCTAAAAACATAACTACACACATACAAACATAAGTACGTGTTTGTGAAAAAATGCCGAGTACGAGCGGTTAGAATTATGTGAAATGGCGTGTGGCTATTGCCGATCGAAGACGAGCGCGTTTCGTCGTTTTGGGTATGGCTTACATAGATAGAAGTCGATGTAGAAGATCAGAGTGGACACCGAGGGCATATAAAAGCTTCTGTTTAAGTTAACAACTAGTTTCGTTTCAATCGACGGGAGGAATTGTGTAGTTGCATTTAAGTGCGCCAAAGAGCCGTTGAGCAAAAAACAGATTTGATAATATTTAATATACAAAATTTTAAGAAAAAATTACAAAACAATAAAAACAAATTTCAATACAATCAAACATCGATTTGCAGTGTCGCGTTTACTTCGAATTTTATAGAAAATGTATAAATTTGTTTTTGTAGCCATCGTGGCTTTGGCAGCCTTGCAGATCCAGCAGAATGATGCATTCATCATTGTTTCGAAAAGTATGGAAAATGTTTTTAATTGAAAAAACAAACAACAAAAAAACAAATTGTGCTTCAGATATCCTGTGTATGAGAAGTGACATCAATCCGATAATAATTTTCGAACTTCACGCAATACAAATTTTGAAAATGTGTAGATTTTTAAAATGAAATACTAGGAAAAGTTTCTACGGAAATTACGTAATCAACGACAAATATTTCATCTCACTGAAACTTTTCTGGAGTGTATTATTAAAAACTAATTTTAGGTGGTTTTTGGATAAAAAAAAATAATAAAAATTCAATATAAACACAATTGTTAAAAACAAACAGTGAAATTAATGCCAATAAATCAGAATTTTTGGGCAAACTGATTTTAATTTTGTTCAATGATTTTTGATAGTAAATAATAATTAAAATTAATTGAAAGTGAGATTAATGAATAACGAAGTATTTTTCAGTTTGTAACAAAAATTAAAAAGTTTTTTTTTCAAATAAAAATGTATTAGAAATCAAAAATATGAAAAACGTATATTTAAAATATTTTAAAATTAGTAAATATTTTGCTAATAAAATAAAAAAATGAGAAACAATAATTTTTCTTTTTAAATAAATACTGACAATCAAAAGTTATCAAAAAATTATGTTTATAAGATATTAAAAACAGTTTTTATTTTTCAGACTAAAAATTATCAGAATTATGAAAACATTTATTTTCAAACTTGCTTATCATTAATTATTTTTTCTAAAGAATTTACAGATTTTTAATAAAATATTATGTTTACAACTATTGACAAAAAAAGCGAATTGAAAATTATATTAAGTTTTACAATTTAATATCTGTGGCAGCACTATTGCATGTAAAAATTTAAAAATTCACAGTAATGTGAAATTGTTTGTTTTCGTTTTTGAATTCCTAGTTTAGCTAAAGAGAATAAAGCCTGCTCGTAAATATCTACATTTAAATCTAACGTGTTTCACTTTTTTTTCAAACATTTTTAGGTATTAGTGCAGCCCCAGCCCCTGCAGCACCCGCCTTGGATCCTAATGCGCTCATACAGGGTATAACCAATGCCGTGACAGCTAAGATCCAAACTGTTACGCAAGTGGTTGGCAGTTTGGTGCAGGCCAAGACGAATCTTAAGCAGAGTTTGTTAAAGAACGTATTGAACACTGTTAGCAGCGTCAAGCCAGTTTATATTACTAAAACCATTCGTATACCCATTTGGGTGAAAGCTCCAGCTGCTTCCGTCACCACCACAGCTGCAGCCCCGTCGGAGCCCGTGGCAACTACGACTTCCCAAGCGGCTGGTTACTCCTACGCCCATAGACACCGTCACTAAAGCTACACATAAATGCATACAAATATTAGTACTTAAGTTGGTACCTAAGTAGAGTGCTATACAAAGATTTAATATCTACAAAGTTAAAATTACAAATATACGAAATATTTTACGATTGTATTTGTATAAATATGAATTTTACGATTATTGCAAATAAAACTTAAGTTTTTTTAGTTAATTTTGTTGTTTATTAATGTAGAGAATTCACCCTAGACTGTACTTATATCGGCTATCGCTACTTTTGGCATTAATCAGAACCTGCTGGCCAACTTACCTAAGCAATAGAAAAGCCATATAAGATGGGGAAGGTATAAAAATCGCTCCTCAGATCACTTGTGATAAGCCTTCCCCTTGCTTTGGGTCGCCTTGATCAATGAATTATTACTTCTCCCCGACAAGGAGAACTTTAAGGTCGTCTGCTATGCGGACTAATGGTTCTGTGATCGACAATTCCAACGGCGAAATCTACACATTCATCGACGGATCAGAGGTTGAAATAGGAACAGAATCCTTACACAGAAAGTAGCTTCAAACTAAATGACTATAATTCAGTCTTTTAAGACGAAATTGTGGGCATAACAGTAGGTGTCGGGTTGGCTATAACCAGCAAGTCCATAAACATTCTAGTAGATAGCCAAAAGGCAATTACAGCTATGGCACCTACCCTTTAGGAAATGGGAAACGTAGATACGGCTGAATGCAGAACATTCACGGATAATGATGAGATGCTGAAACATAATCTATTCGAATGCATAACTTTCAGCCGGATGGGATATATTCCACAGCTCTCAATGCTCCAACTTAAGAGACATTGGGCAGCTGGGGTGAAAATAAATCAGGTTTTTTACCAAATACACTGAGTTGTTCGGTATGGCTTAGTTTGGTTATCACCCGGGAGCACAGTGGGCCTAATGCTTATGCGCTTCCCTTTTCAACCAAACAAATTAACAGTAATAATATGGCTTAAAATAATGTGAGAATATGTATGTATCTAGCAACTCGAAAACTAAATCATTTCCTAATTTAGGATCAGAAAGGTTAAAAAATATATTGTTGTCCAAGGTATATGGCAACAATTAAAAACTATTACCGATTTAATTCCATTGATTCAACATCTGAAACTGGAGGCTTCTTAAAAATTCTGACTAAGTGACAGGCCAAGCCATTATCATTTTTTTGTCTACATTTTACGAAGTTGCCAATATCGAGAAAGCGGATACGAAGGTTAGAACAGAATATAAGAAATGCACATGTAAAGGGTGTTATAGCTTCAGCGCAGCCGAAGTTAACGTTTTTGTTTAGTTGAGTGGATAGACCATTCTTTAATTTCAGGCTTGCCTTATTCGTATTCTATTTTGAATAAATTCTTGTAGGGAGTATATTTTCAGCTTAAACCTAGTTTTACAAAACATTACCATTCGATCATTCTCAGTCAGTCACAGAGAGTTTCGAAATGAATCTGCCCAAGGGCAGTTGCTTCTTTTTGCAGACATTGTTGTTTTTACTTTTGCAAGGACTTTACACTAATTAACACTTAACTCGATTCGTATAGCAAATAATCATCAGTATATAATTATCTATGGCAGTCGGGCAAAGTAAAATGATTTAGGCACGGTTAAAATTGAAAATAAGGAGCATGTTAACGATGGATCCTTATTTAGGTAAAAATGGAAATTTTAGGGGCGTTTGCAAAAAAAAAATTAACTTGGGAATATGTACATATCTATACTATTAGAGAATATTTATATTTGGTTATTTTTGAAATTTATCTGGAAAGCATAGCTGATTACACTACTCTTCATTAGGTTAGACCAACACGGGTTTAAACATCTTTGATTAATTTTTATTAAAACTAAGAAAGCTATGATTATAAAATTATTAGCGATTATTAACGCATCAATTCTCTACAACAAAAAAAAACAGTAATTATTGCTTAACCTTGTTTTCTATATCTTTTAATAATATTTTTCCTAAATCAAGCAATTTTAATATCTTCAATTAATTCCTCTTTAGTAGAATATAGTCCGTCAAACTCAAAAACTTTGCGAAACAACCATTTTGTCCTTTAATTCTCGACTTAAACACTCGGAACTTAAAATGGAGAAAGAAAGTTTCCAGTGCGTTTTTATATGCATTTGTATTCATATTAGTATTCAAAATTGCAGTTCGCAACGTACCATATTACAAGTAGATGATGACTCCTTTCGAAGATTATGAAAATAATAATTGTATCCATCGGACTCTTCTTAATTAATTGTTTTTCGTCTGAAAAAATAACCTAGCGCCAATCAGACTTTAAGGCTTTGTGCTCCGATGCACTGTCGTGTTTATTTACGGGGAGCATAAAGCGGTGATTTTTTCATTAGTTTTAGTAGTTTCAAATATAGAGCATACCTTTGCACCGTTTGAACAATAGATATGGTTACTTTACTTGTATGCTTTTTTCGAAATTGCTCACTTGTTGACATCGGAAATAACTTTATTGTTACCGTCTCTTTAATTTAGGTCATACTCCGACTTATTACCCAAAAAATTGTATGTAACTTTTCGACTTCTGCCAATTTTTTTTGGTCATTCAATTATTGAAAGCTGTAATTCTTCATAATCTTTGATTATTGCTTTCTCTACAAAAGATAACTAATTTCCTTTAGCCATATTAAAGAAAATAGAGCACTTAGGCAATACAACAAATTCGGTGTCAATACGTATTCAAACTCTGAAGATAAATGCAAATCAAATACATTCTTATTGCATTTTTTTATAACCAGTGATTGTTCATACAAAGATGAGAAAATTGCAAAATAATAAAGTAGCTGAAAATTAAAAAAAGAAATCAGAAGCAGTTATATTAGGCCGATGAAGGTGTGCTAACCTGGTGACGCGCTGTATACATAATTGCGCATGATAGAGCGGCACTCCTTTTTTTGGTTTTTGACTTTTTACTACCAATTTACATGACTATATAAAAATGTAGACATCGGATAGGACCTTCCAAAATTTCAAGGCCACTTACTACTTAACGATATTGTTAAAAAATATTTAAAGGTATGTTGCGGACCCATTGAAATTGTATGCCTACGAACCACTCAACTAATCTTAACCAATTTTGTCCACGCTGTCATTTTAGCTGAGTTCGGAAATTGTCGAAATACAAGTATCAAAAAATATATGTACATATACTATAACCGCCGTTCCATATTCATATTTATTAATTGTTCATATTTATTATATTTATATTAAAACAAAAGTCGTAACTTTGTTATAAAGTAATCATCTCTGAACTTTTATTAATCTACAAAAATAAGAATCAACAATGAATGGCGTCGGTCTATAGGTATAACGAATATCGAGAAAGAAACGAAAAATATATGAATGAAGTTCTATATCTCTTTTTAATTCAATTCAATTATTTCTATATTTTAACATAGTATCGGTATATTTTTAATTCGTATCCATTTCGGTATTTCCGGGCGAACTGCACTAGCCGATACATGCCCTAAATAAGCATGGAAATAAGTATTAAGCAATGCAGCATCACATCCCACATAAAATTGCATTCCTTATGAATTACATATAAATTTTACAAATGAAAATGTAAAGGAAATCAGCACTATGTCACTTTCCTGGCGCGTTATATCTAAATACTTATACATATATGCATTTATGTAAATGTTTGAAAAACTCCCTATTGTCTTCCGCATATCCATATAAAAGTGTCACAAAGCAACTCTGACACCTTATTCAGCACAATAACCGTACAACGCATACTTTCTCGCATGAATTATACAATATACTTTATATACAATTCATACATAAATATAATTTTTATACCCACAAGCCATGTAACGCAATAGCTGTTTTTCGCCATACTTGTTTGGTCGCTCGTAAATAAAATATTGTATTATAATTCCCTATACCGTTCTTGTGATCTCAAATTCATATAAGATTTATGTTATAAGACCCACAATCCAAGTGGAACCATGTTCTCTTTTCATGCAATGGTATTTTTTCAAGAACTCAGGAAAATTGTTTATGCCAGAAGCCAAGATTGACGGATTGCTCAACTTTGTTACAAATCAAGCGACTGCATCGCATTTGGATGTTATGCAATAATCGGTTCCGTTTGTATTTAAACATACCTTATTTGCTGTATTGTATTTATGAATATTTATGTAGGAACAACGTATGTTGAGCACGTCGGTTGGCAAAGTCAAACAAATCAATCGGCGCTCGTGGCATGCAAAAATATGTGCACATTGGCGTAAATGAGGCATAGATTAATAAAGAAATTTTTTAATTAGTTTCCAAAATTTCTTACCTTCGCCAACGTGCATGGACTGATTAATACTCGTCTATAGTGTAGAATTATGATTATTGACTATTGAATGAAATAAGAAAAGTATTAAAAAAAATTCTTACGAATTTCGTTTGTAACACATTTTTTGCTAATAATACTCTTCTCCTTCAAATATAAGAATCATGAATATATTTTATAATCAAATAATCACATGAGTGCTTTTTTCGACGTCAATAGAAAAATGCACTGGGCAAGATATACATATATGCGAGTATATTGTGCTCTATGCAGTTTCTTCACAATTTTTCAGAAATTCTTAAACAGTGCTTACGCCCTCTATTAGCCGATGCAGAGGTCCGAAGATTTTCTCTCTGCAATTACATCACTCTCAAGAATCCAGCTCATTTTATTATTTTAGTCCTTGGCGCAGAGTCACATAAAGGGCATTTTTATGTCGACCATATTTTTCTGTGGTCTGCTGTAGCCAATACAAATTGTTACTGGCAGTCTTACTCTGCTTTAAATATGTTAATTATTTATAAATCGGAGCCTATTAGGTTATAATAATTGGAAGGAGTCAGTAGTACCTTACAATATTTCCATTTTCCGTTGCTTTTCCTATGAAACAATCCCCCGCTGATCTGCTTTGCCAGCAATTACAATATAATATAATAGATTAACAATTTCATGGTACACTGAACATTTAATTTCATAGGACGACAGCAATGAGTTCATTATATTATAATAGTTGCGTTGTAGGTTCATCTCAGCCGGTCATAATTATACCCTGAACAAGGTATATTAACTTTGCCACGAAGTTTGTAACACCCAGAAGGAAACGTCGCAGAGCCTATAAAGTACAGGGTGGCTCACGAATTGTG